CGTAACTATCTTTGAAACATACTCAAATTCCTAATATAATCATGAATTCAGGATTACACTTTTTACCCACCATCAAACAACTACTATGTATTATATAAATATTTGTAACCCATTATTAATGCTCTTATGATTTTTTTTACAATCTTCTTATACAATGGAGGATGAATCTTAAAATTATCTAAAAAATAGTACCCTTGATTTTCAGGCTTACGAGGTATTCATCTGCCCCACTATCTGTATCTCAATTCTTCTTCTTTTTATGTGTTTCATTAAGTTTGTTGTATACAATATATGATAATACTTTGATGGTCATATATATATATATATATATATATATATATATTCATTTATCATTATGTTGAATAATATTGTCTAACTTCGATATGACAATATCCAGGATGTTTTTAATTGAGATGCATTCGATCCCAGATCAAACCAAATTTATCTTCATTTATAGTTCTATATTGAATTATATATTTGAATATGTAACATTGTTAATTCTAGTAAACTAATTATCTTCATTTTATTTGTTTGACTAATTTCAAAGGCGGAGGGCCCCACCTTTTAAAACTCCACCGACACTATGCTGATTCGGCATTACGGCCATATATGTTACATGACTAGATTTAGGATTTGAATACTATTTAGAATGTTTTTAATTGAACCGATTTCGACCCAAACAGATTCAAGCAAATTAAATCAAATCAGACTAGACTAGATTTAAATAATAATACGTAGTAAATATACATTTATCGGCCGTTCACCAGACCCGGCATTTTTTTTTAATTTTTACATATATGATATTGGTGTCATATAAAAGATCATAAAAAAAATATTTAATTTGATATAACTTTTATAAAAATAGGCGCAAAATTGAAAAAGTTATACTAGTAACATTTTACTCGTATAAAAAAAAGAAGGAATTATTTGCCACATATCAAATTTTAATTTGATACATTTTGATAAAAATAAAAAATGAAAAATTTACAACTTTATAAAAAAAAAGTGTTTGCCATATGTCGATTGAGATATACTCCGTACGTAGTATAGCAAAGTATTCGATTGAGAACCAACTCCATTAGCTTATTATCATATACTCCGTACGTAGTATTGCATTGATTCAAGCGTCGTATACAAAGCAGATGGATTATTATAACAATACTAAACTAGGGGCAATTTTGTCAAAAAGGGGTGCGCATAGTAATTGAGGAGGTGCGTGTAGTAATGCCCTTGGTATAATACTCCGTAGAAGATAACGAAACCCTAACGCAGGAGAAGCCGGGAGTGAGCGCAGACCATCTGAGAAGATTATCTTCATAGCAGCCACTTCTCTTTTCCAGCGAGGATGAAGGTATCCCACTTTTCACAGATTTGAATTTTTAGTGTTCGCAATCGAATTATTCTCACTCTGTTTCTTGTTGCTGTTATGTAGTTCAACATTGCAAATCCGACTACGGGTTGCCAGAAGAAGCTCGAGATTGACGATGAACAGAAACTGTATGCCTAGCCTCATTTCAATAAATTTCGATTGGATATTGGCATGTGATACATATTCCATCATCTTATTTTACATGCCCTAGATCCATCCTCATACATAATATCACGTTATTTTCTCATTGTCATGTTGCATGTCTAAATTTTGCTGATTTATATTTAAAAGCTTTACATTTTGTGATTCTGTGTTCTGGAATTGATCTATTGATGAATGTGCATATCTCACTTGTTTCCATAATAACTTTCACAGCTTGTTATCACTTATCGCCACATTCTTCTCAGAGTTGGTTGTGATTTGCTATATTGTTATTATTGCTCATTAATTAAAAATACGTATTCCTTCCTAGAAATTGATAAAATAACATGTTCAAGTTCTCTCCATGTGTGTAAATTATCTGTTCTACCATTTTTAGTAGCTGTGTACCTTGAATAATATGTTCGGTAATAATAAAAGTACTGATCCTGTATTTTTGGAAAACCACACATATAGATGACTAAATATTTAGCTGAGTTGTACATGTATGGCTTCATTGTTTGTTGTTTTCTTCTGCCCTACCACTAATGGAGAGTTCATAAGCTCCATAATCTGAAGTCTGCATTTGTTTAGTGAATTTCATCATGTACAACCCGTAGTTTTTCTATAGTCTACTTGGCACATTAGTGTAATGCGGCTAATGCCAGATGTAATTTTATTCAATCACTAACTTATGAAAGTTTAATATCTCAATAATGCAGTCGTGCCTTTTATGACAAGAGAATCTCTCAAGAAGTCAGCGGTGATGCTTTGGGAGAGGTATTGCCACACTGCACCAATCTACTATTCCGTTTGTTGTGTAAAGATAAAGAATCTGTTCTTAAATGAAATATTTTTCTTAATATTGGCAGGAGTTTAAGGGATATGTATTCAAGATCATGGGTGGATGCGACAAACAAGGATTTCCAATGAAGCAAGGAGTCTTGACTCCAAACCGTGTCCGCCTTTTACTGCCTAGAGGTATTTGGACAATTCATCTCATATTGAGAAAGCTTATTTATTTATTTATTTATTTATTTATTTATTGATAATCTGTATTGGCAGTTAACATTATTAAGAATGAGCAGGTACTCCGTGTTTCCGGGGTTATGGAAGGCGTGATGGTGAGAGGAGAAGAAAATCAGTACGTGGGTGCATTGTCAGTCCTTACCTTTCAGTTCTGAATTTGGTCATTGTGAAGAAGGGTGAAAATGACCTTCCTGGGCTGACCGATGTTGAGAAGCCAAGGATGAGGGGTCCTAAAAGAGCTTCAAAGATTAGGAAGCTGTTCAACCTGTCCAAGGAGGATGATGTCAGGAAGTATGTCAACACGTACCGCAGGACATTTACTAATAAAAAGGGTAATACTTCGTATCATTAATATTTATACTTTCAGCTTTTATTTGATATTAATTTGCTCTGGATTCTGGATTCTAGATTCAAAATGTGATGTTGTTCCCATGACTTCGTTTGAGGTGGTTTGAAAAGTCTTGGTGCTTAAGCCTTTTATTAATAAACTGAGGCTGAAGCAGCAAGTGGTCAAGGCGTTTTGTATGGCTAAAACTGAGGTTCTTGTGAGGTTCAAGTTTAATCTGTAACTGATTGTTTGACCCTGTAATGATGACAGGGAAGGAGGTTAGCAAGGCTCCTAAAATACAGAGGCTGGTGACTCCATTGACCCTCCAGAGGAAGAGGGCCAGAATTGCTCAGAAGAAGCAAAGGATTGCCAAGGCTAAGACAGAGGCTCAGGAATACCAGAAGTTGCTTGCGAGTAGGCTGAAGGAGCAAAGGGAGAGGCGCAGTCAGAGTGTGGCCAAGAAGAGGTCCAAGCTCTCTATTACTTCTAAGCCATCTGTTGCTGCTGCTTAAGCCACTTTGCATTAATGTACCCTTTCTTTTTTAGACTTTTTGGTTTGTTACCTAGTTTTGATGTTTGAAGTTTTGGAGATTTTGTTAAACAGTTGAGACTTGATACTGCTATTATTTATATTTAGATTGAAATCTTTGGTGCTGTTTCTCTTTCTTCACACTCCATAATACTTGTTTCGGTATTAAATGGCTTGTATATCCAGTTTGTAATATTTAATTAAGAAAGTGTGTTTCCCTGTCACCTTGACCCTCACAATTCACAATTGGGTTAAACCTTAAACCCCTATTAAGGGCCAGTTCGTTACATTGAATTGAGTTGGTTTTCATATTCTTATCCTATACCTGGACAAGTAGTTGACCCATTATGTGAGGTGTAGTTGTGGACCCAGGCCGTTTCCGGGCCCTGCCCGGCCGGGCTTTTTTTTGGGAAGGAAGCACCGGAACTGGCCCGGGTAGGCCAGCGGTTCCGGGCCGGGCCGGTTCATGTTATTTTTTTTTTAAAATTTCTTTTGCTTTTCTAGTTAACCCCTGACCCCTCACCCCCACCCCCCAACCCCCCCCAAAACACCCAGACCAACCCGGGAGAAATCAAAAAAATTGAAAAAACTCAAAAAAAAAAAAAAATAGGCCGGGCCGGTTCCACTTTTAGGAGGCCCGAGCCCGGCCCGATTAATTCTGGGTTCGGGTGGCCCAGACTGGTGTTATAACTGGGTACTGGGCCGGGCCCAAACAGTATCGGTTCCGGGTCAGGCGGCCTGACCCGAGTCACCCGAGTCTATGACTGGTGGGGTGAAGTGAAATTAGCTGCTCACAAAGACCGGGCCACCGGGGTGATTCAAAATTACTTTTTCTACTACACTATAGGGGTGGACCGGTTCCGGTTCGGGCCCGGTTCGGGCCTGGGCCCGGCCGGGCCTCGGTTCAGAAAAAGGAGGCCCGAGCCCGAACCGGTGGTGGGCGGTTCCGGTTCCGGTTCCGGGCCAGAACCGGGCCGGGCCGGGCCACCCGGAATGTTTTTTTTTTTTTTCTTCTTCTCTTATTTAACCCCCTACCCCTCCCCCTCCACCCCAAACCACCCCAAACCACCTCAAATGGCCCAAAATACCTAATCCAACCCAAAACTTAAAAAAATTTCAAAAAAAAAAAAAAAATTAAATTCCGGCCCGAACCGGGCCCGGCCCGGCCGGGCCGGTTCACTAAACTGGAGGCCCGGGCCCGGACCGGTATACCACCGGGCCTGGAGGCCCGAACCGGAACCGAACCGGTTGACCGGGCCGGTCCGGGCCCGCACAGTAGCGGGCCGGTCCGGTTCCGGGCCGGTTGGCCCGGCCCGAGTCCATCCCTACTACACTATCAACATTATCAAGAACAATTTACAAAAACTTGTGAGTATTAAATTCTAAATATAAAGTACCATATCCCTAAATTGATTTTACTGATTCTTATTATATGTCCATGGATTTGCTAAGAAAAACTTTACATGCTAGTAATGTTAATCAAACTTGTAATAAAACAAAAAAGCGGTATCACAACAAAATATAGGTTTATGATTGTTGGCAATATTTAGTCTCGAAACAGTACTAAATGAAAATATGATTTGGAAGATTACTTCATGAACCTGTCAAAGTAATTGACTAATTGCAACAACGTTAAGGGTTGGAGAATAGTTTTGATAAAGTCAACGGCTTCAAGGGATCTTTCGAGCTAAGAGGGGAGAAGATCTACAGGTAGTTTGGGTTTTTGTTTGAGCATAATCGGCGAGTATGGCAAGGCTAGACTGTGAAAGTTGGAGTTCCTCTCAATGAGTGGTAGCAGGAAGGGGAGGTCGTCAATGGTGGGTAGTGCGAGCTGGTATCATCTGACAATGTGGTGGAAGAAGGTAATTGTGGATGCCTCAATTTGTGACCAGTCTTATGGCCTGGGACTAGGATTTTGTGCCGATAGAGTTAGATTCACTTTTGGCGTTTTCAGATATCCATGATAGCTCGAGCCTATCTTCTAAAGGATTGTTGGTGGAAGACATTAGAGTAATGAATTCGGTGTTCAAACGGACCCTTAAGGACCAATCAGAGACAAGAAATCTTTGTTGTGCATTATCATAAGTGGGAACATTGGCCAGTGGAGGTGGTAGCAATGAGTGCTGGTTCTAAAGTGGGAATCAGGCAGCATAGTACCAGAAGTTAAAAAACTTCTTATGAAAAATGGGTTAGCACGTGTCTACATTCCTCGTTTGTAACCAAGTAAAATCTGCCACAATGATAAGCTTTCGGAATTTCAACTTGTCAGTGGGTAGATTATGGACAGTATGGACCACCCCTCTGTTCATGAAAAATACTGTACGTAGTAACTAGTAAGGAAATTCTGGGAAAGAGAAGTAAGAAAAAACATGAGATGATGTTCCAGAAAGGATTTGCGGCTCGACTTTTTTGGTTCTCATCTTTTATCAACGCTTTATAGCGCTGTTTTTTCTTAGAGAAAAAAGCTTTCTGGTTGCAATGATCAATTTTCCAGTTAGAGGTTCTGTCACTGTACCCCTTGCTTCTATGCTCTAATGCTCATATTTTTTTGTCAAACAATCTACACTTTTGGCTATGCTCCAAATTCCCAATAAGCCTGAATATCATGACAACTGCTAATTCTTTTTGGTATATGAATTTTCTTTTGAAGTGAATGGAATTACTATTTATTGTTTTTTTTTTTAATTATTTGAAGCTTTGAACCTATGTTTTTGTACATGAGTTGCTTAATTTATGTAATTTTCACAATTCCATTCCACAGGATGTTTTCAGTTTCCCCGACTAGTACTATATTGCTATTGTAGCCAGAGCTGTTACTGGATATGGAGTGTTCGGGAATAGAATTTCATTATTCTGAATTCTGAAATTTCAGCTTCAAGCTACAGGCTGTCTCTAGATTGAAGTTAGTTATGGGTTGATAATTATGGAGCCTGAGAAATGGAAATATTAATTCCATTTAGAAAACTTCAAGCAATGGATATCTAACTTTTCTGAGTTATTGAGACCTTAAATCCGCGAATACATCTCGTTTGGCAGATCGTGGACTTGAATAAGCTGTTGGAAAGTTCTCCGGCTGTCAAATTTGTTGGGCAATTTTCCTTTGGCAATTTATCTGTTTCATAGGATCAGATTGATCATAAACAGATTATTTAAATATAACCATATAATATATTATCTTCTTCGTTTAGCAGTTTATTTGTGTTGAGTTCAATCAATTGATTCTGGAACTCTAATACTTGATCAAAAGGCAAGGATCACACGTTTACAGTGCGGTATGTGTCTTCCTTTTCATCCATTTGTCAAAGTAATTCTGATTTCTTAAAATATCAACGGAGATGACATGGTTGATATATGTTCTTCTCCATAAGAGTCTATTTGGGTTCTGGAAAATGCCAGGGAATGAAAATAAGGAGGAATATAGAAAGAAAATTTGAAGGAAAGAAAATACCGGGGGAAATAATAAATTGATTCCAACTTAAGAACAAATGTTCATACTCATTTTGTAAAGCATTTCTATTAAAAAAGGCTTGAAAACTATATGCTCCCTTCGTTTTTTATTAGTCGGTCTACTAGTTTCAAGGTTCTGAAGAGCAAAATTGTAGGAGTAGTGAATAGTACTATGGTAGAAGAAGTAGGAAAAACAAGAAAAGAAAGATGGAAAAGTAAGGCTTTTATGAGATGTGATATGATCAAATTTTCCAAACTAGGAATTTGGATCAACTAAGAAAATGGAGGAAGTATATGCTAGAAAAACTAAAGTTTTATTATATTTGGTTCTCATTTGGTATCTTTCAGTGACATTTTTTTTGTTTCATTGACAAATATGTTACATGGTATTAAAAATCGCAGGATATAATCTTTTAGCTTTCAAAATATGGATTTGGACATAAGCGACATTGAAAGATTATGGTGGAAAAGCTTGTTCTACTCTCTATCTAGTCTTGAAGATACTCTTGGAAGAATAGACGATTTCTTATCCTTTGAAAGGGTGTTTATAGAAGGAGACTTGGTTTGCTTAGTAAAGGATGAACCATCCGGGCAGACCGGTAGAGTGGTCAATGTTGATATGGTAGTCGACGTGGAGGACATTTTCGGAACTGAAATACGAGGTGTCCACAGTCCACTCCAAGAAAATCCAAAAAATGCATTCAATTATGGTTGGGGATTATGTAATGTGTGGGCTGTGGCTTGGAAAAGTTGAAAAAGTGATTGATCGAATAACCGTTCTGTTTGATGCCGGTTTTATATCTGGATTCACCACAACGGGACATGAGATCATCACGCCCATTTCTCCAAACTTGCTTGAAGATCCACACTATTCGTTTTATCCCGGGCAGAGTGAAGATTCATACCCGACCAGTTCCTCCAAAAGTTGTTGTGTGATGTCAGAAATGATAAAAGATATACAGGGACTGTTTGCTCTTTGGATGTCGGGGTTGTGTATGTTAGTTAGATTGGTTGTGTGACAAATGGACGTGAGAAGGCATCTAGTCCTCCACATTTGCAGGATTCAAAAATTTTGACCTTGCTGTCATGTTTTTCTGATGCCAAGTGGCAGGTTGGGGATTGGTGTTTGCTTTTAGATGCTGACAATGAGAATTCCCTGCATAGTTCTCTTTGGGTATGTTTAGACCCCAGAGATTGACTAATGATGTAATTTTCTTAGTGTATTTTAAAGTTGGATATATGTAAATTCTTAGTCACAATATAGGGTGTTTGGAACTGATTATGCTTTTGCATCTTTTTTAAAACAGAAGCAGAATCAGATCCAAACACGATATAGGGGGTGATATAGACTATAGCACTATGCCTATAGATATAAACAAATGCAAATATACAATAAGTATATAAAAATTCTGAAACAAGTTTATTGAGGTTTAGCCCATTTTTCATCTTGCACCTAATCTTTGTGCAAGGCCTATGATGAAACTCGGACCTCGCGTGAAACCTCGCCTTCGACCTCTGCCAATAGTCGTCGTCTGCAGAAAACTACGTGCGAATCTCGGTCTTCTGTCTGGGAAGGCCGTTCTTCGTCCTCGACGAAAACGGAAAAAAGGAGAACTACTCTAGCGGTCAAGCGGCAACCCTAGAGAGAGAAAACTATCCCATTACTCTGGCCCGCATGGAAGTTTGAAGTCCCAAATTTTATTTTCGCATGATTTTCTTTATTGTTCCCCTTATTAATTGGTATAGATCGAGTCTTTATTTCTATTGGGTGTTTGGAGTTTTTATTTGGAATAATTGGGTGAGTAAAATTGTGATAATTATTTTTTTAAAAGGAAAATGTTTATATTAAACTCATTGAACCAAACATCCTAACATCCAACTTACCCTCTTATAGGCTCTCATAGATAGAATAGACTGCCCAATACTAAGCAAGATTAATCGTTGAACATGCGAGAGATTCAAAGCTATTATCAGCCAGATTAGCTTGATTGCTTCTACTCATTCTCACAACAAAAAGCACTCACAACTCAAAATTATTAACCGAATAAAAAAGTACGACATACCAAAAAATAAAACTTAAACGAAGAATAGAGCACAAGTGTGCATGCGACCAAATCCAACAGTGAAACGTCGACCTCGGATCCTTGGTTCCGTGGCCACTCGAAGGTGGTGATTCAGAAGGGACGCGAACTGTCAATACTTTCTCTTCCTTGTTCATCTCGTCATCTCTTTTCGTCTAAACCCTCTTTCTGTCCCTTGCAACGCCATTCTTCATAAATACTCCTAATTTTAAACATTTTTTCACACCTCTTCTCCAACTCTTCCTAAATCCTACTCTCTACTCTCTACTCATCTCCATATTCATCTTCTCAAATTCTCTTATTCTCCATTATATTTTATTTTACTATTTAATACTTATACAATTATTATATCTACTTATATATTAATTATCTACTTATAAATACATATACTATATTACTTATATTTCTCATCTACTTAATCTCTACTTATTATCTACTTATATCTACTTATTACATACATACTACATCTACTTAATATACTTAATACTTGTTAAAGTATATTTAATACTTTATATATTAAATTATTAAATATACTTTATAAACTATTACTATATACTTAATACATAATATTATCTACTTCTCTATTTATATTTCTTATCTACTTATTTTCTTATTCTCGAATCTCCATTATATTTTACTATTTAATTCTTATACAATTATTATATCTACTTATATATTAATTATCTACTTATAAATACATATACTATATTACTCATATTTCTTATCTACTTAATCTCTACTTATTATCTACTTATATCTACTTAATACATACATTCCACATCTACTTCATATATACTTTATACATTAAAGTATAAAATATAAGTGTATTACTCATCTTATAGTAGTATACTTATATTATATACTATAAACAATATATTATATATTAGTTACACTTTAATTAGTATTAGTTAAAATCATTCTATTACTCATTTACTCCCATTAATTAGTATACACATTCATACATTTGTCTTATTACTTACATTTTGTATTAACATTACTTGATTAGTTAATTAGTATTCCCACTAATTGTTACATTTTTCATTAAACTAGTTAATTTTATTAAAGTACTTAACATTTTATTAAAGTAGTTTTCAATAAATTAAAGTACTTGAAAAGTTGCTATAATTTAATTACTCACATTTTAGTTAAAGTCACACTTGTTACTTTTAAGTATTTATTAAAAAATACTATTGATTAGTTCAATTTTCAATTTTTATTTTAGAGTCACACTTTAATTCATTACTTAATTAAAGTACTTCACATTTTATTAAAGTAGTTTTCACTAAATTAGTTTGAAGTATTAATTAAAATAGTTTTAATTAGTTGCATTACTTTTGTATTCATTACTATATTTGTTGCAAATTAATATTTGTTACATTTTTAAGATGGAAGGTGGTAGATATTCGGTTGATATGGGTAACCTCGAACGCAACCGAAGGAACGAGATTGGGAGGAAGAAATCTCGCAAAGGTAAAGAACTTGCCGGCTCTTCATCTCAAATCCGAGATGATTTTGAAACGGGTTACCAAAGGAGGGATGGTGATGCGATGTCCGAAGAACAACTACAACAAGAATTGGCCCGAAATAATAACCGCTTTGTCCAACAACAACAAATCCCAACGACCATTGACGAAGATGAGCTCGAGGATGACGATGCGGATGAACTTGAACCGGAGACGGGCGATGGTGATGGCAACCAGGACGAGGCGGACGAGCCCACCTCATCCCAACCCGGTAAGAAAAAAAGTAAATCTGAACTAATGCAAAATAATTTTGATAAGTGAAAGGACACACAAACCGGGTTTGTGCACGCAACTTGCAAGTGGTGCAAGAAAAATTATAGCTTGGGGACCTCCGGCGGATACGGATCCACCGCAAGGCATCTTAAGGCAAAGCACCCCGTGGAGAATGCAAAATTAGGCGGCAGAACGGGGAAACAAACTCAAATATCAAGATTTGCGAATTCTCAACCTTTTGGTAATTTCTCATACAATGATGCACATCTAGGGGGTCCCGGGGGTGGTGGTGTGGGGTTCAAAAAATTCTATAAATACATCTATTTTCTAACATTTTTCTACACCTCTTCTCCAACTCTTTTCCATCTTCATCTTCTCTTATTATCCTACATTCCTACTTATACATCTACCATTTTAAAGATGGAAGTAAATCTTCCCTTATGCAAAACAATTTTGATATGTAGAAGGACCCGAAGACCGGGCTGTGGTGGGCAACTTGTAAGTGGTGCAAGAAAGAGTGTAGCTTGGGACGTTCACACGGATACGGGATGCCCATAAAACATATGAAGTCCTGTGACAAAGGCAAAACAACAACCAACGGTGACGGAAATTCTAATTAATACTTATTAGAAAATGTATTTCATATTGTATTTTTTTCTCAATTCTCAAATGTAGTTCCTATCTCAAATAAATACACTTGAACTTTGTTTTTAATAAGAATTTGTATAAACTATAATTTAAAAAAAAAAAATTAACATGACCCGGCGCGGCCCGACGGGTGGCCCGACCCAGTTTTGGGCCTCCTTCAAAAAACCCGAGGCCCGACCGGGCCTAGGCCCGGGTCCATGACTAATTGGAGACAAACAATACTTCAATCATTAACTCATTATAGGCTTGCAATTTGTTTTTTTATGATTAGAATTGAAGTATCTATTCATTGTATACTTGAGGTTTCTCTTAATTTTACTATAACTGCCATTTACATTTAAAAAAAATGAAAGAAATGGTTCCACCATACCACGACATGAAGTCTCGCAAAGGAGAATACACATATACTCCGTATTTCATATTAAAAAGGTTAAAAGGTCAAATAGACCCTTGTACCGGTCATGTAACTAAAAAAGGTCCAATTCGCACCTCGAACCGGCAAAAAAAGTTTCAAATTTCATTTTTTGCCGGTAAACAACCAGTCAAACCAGACCAGACAGGAACCACAAGCTTTAATTGGATCAAATACTTGAAGGGTGTGTAAATAGTCGTGTCAGGCCTGGACTGACCCGTCCGGTTTGGTTCTTTGGTCTGGACTGGAATGTGCTCAACTCTTTGTAGCATTGGAATTGGATCATGGAAAAGTGGAAGGTCCTATGCTCTAGATAATATCACAACGATGCAACATGCTGTTTAAAAACCAAGTGAAGTGAAGAAGTAAATAACTAAATACAATACCCATTTTTCATTCTTTTCTTGTTGCTGAATTGCGTGCAGGCATCCCCACAAGAAGATTAACAAACAAATTTGTGCTTCACTAGTAAATGATCATATATCTTGCAAAAATGAAGCATGGTTACGACAGCTAACAATACAAATCCTCATGACTGATGAAAATGACTTCTTTACTCTGAGCTTATCACCTCAAACGAAAAACCGAGATGTACACTGGCAAAAGATGCTCAACGGAAATTATGAGCAAATTTTGTAACAAGACAGATGAGATTTGTAGCATACTATGCAACAGCTAGTGAAACCGTGTTAGCAGTTTTAGAACCACTCCCTTTTCTTTCTTCTATCACTTCTGGTTTTTCAATCCCTTGTATATCCGTTATCCTCAACTTTGTTAATTCCTTTGAAAGAAAAAGGAAACATATTTTCAGAAACAAATAAACAATACGTAGTACTAATTACATATGGGTAGGCTGTATTGACAGCAGATGAGAAATGGAGAAGGGGGGACAACAGACATATATGATTACGGAGCAACCAATAAGTAGCGAGCATTTAATGGCATTGCAAGTTACCAACCTGTCGATGCCCCCGTGTTCGTCGATAATTCTTTCGTCTTTTTTTCTTAAATATGATCACTTTCGCGTCCAATGCCTGAATGAAAAATGAAAAACTGGTTATGTACGTGTGAGACAGTGAGAATAGTAGAAATCTAAGCGTTTGTTTTCATTAGGAAAGTAATAGAGAAGAGAGAAAAGGGTTAGAAAGAGATGAATCATATTACTCTCCTATTTGCACCTCGTAAGAGAATAGATTAAAAAAAAGTGGCAAGATCCGCTATTTAAATTTCTCCCCCTCAACTTCTGTGGTTACCAAACAAGAGAAGCTTCTCATTTATTCCTTAGTTTCTCCCTCACATTTCTGTTTTGTATTTACCCCAACCAAACAAGAAGTCTTCTCACTTATTCCTTAGTTTCTCCCTCACATTTATGTTTTGTATTTACCCCAACCAAACAAGAAGTAAAATGAATTCCTATGTATCCTGCTTATGTAATATGTCATTTAACCGTACAAAACAGTTGCAAATTTCACATGGATAATCATATTAAACATAAAGGTACCATTTTGTAAGAGTTCTTTTTGGTAAATGGCTAAATAGGCTGAGATTTCTGAAAGATATGGGAATTTGAACTGTTAAGACATCTGTT